CCAGGGAGCTATGCTTCATTCATCCCCTTGCGACTAATGACAGTCTGAATGGAGATCAGCCATTCCCTAGCACACCCCTTGATGGCGTGCAGTAAAAGCACATGCTGTAGTCAGATCCACTAACTTAATATAACCGCCAGGTAAGTGTCAGTTCAGAAAAATCCACAGAGAGAAGTGATAATATAGTATATAGCTAAAACTCACTCATTTATCAAGAAAGACAGAATAATTATTAGGAATGCCCAGACTGTATGTCCTGTGATAGAAATGCATAATGGAAATATTAACTACATTATTTTAAATTAAGAACACACTTTAGATAAGCCCAAAATCTAGTAAGTCTACTCTACCTAGGCTTCAACTAAACCTAGGAAATGGTGTAATGTTTGATTTTACAAACCACAGAGGTGAATTTTCTGCTTTGGGTTAGAGAAAAAAAAAAAAATGCATAGGGCTTCTTGTTCATAGGAATAACATGATCAGACATGAGGCTTTGACATTTTCACATTAGAGAAATTGAGTTCTACCAAAGTCTAATATGTTAGAAAGGCAATGGTTTTCTTTTAGCAGAGCTGTTATGTGGCTTAAGCATTCTTATTCTATGATTATATTGGTGAGGCAAGCACATTAGTCTAGTCTGGTACTGTGTGCAACAGCTAGGTTATCAAAAGACTGCTTGCTATTGAGTCACAATTCCAATTAACTTACGACTTAATATTGCAGCTCTTGAATTAAGAATTTATTATAGTTGTGACAGAAGAGACAATTTAAAAATAATTTTTTTCTGAACAGATTTTGGGACAGAGTTTCTAATTTAGCATATTAGTAAATTACTTAGGTTCTCAATGTATTTTCAGCTGATGTTTTGACTCCAAATACATAAACCTTCCCATTCAAAATATTGCTTGCTTTAATGGGTACAAAACTATGCTATCTATCTTAAGTGAATCCTGTGCGATATATGCATGTATTGAAGCAACACACTGTACCCACAAATATGTACAAGTAAATGTTAAAAGAAAAAAGAAAAGGCTCAACCTAGTGAATACTTATTATGCCTCCTTGGCACAGACTGTCTTATATTTTTCAATCACCTGGGTGAGTGTAACCTTAAAAAATATACATTCTGCTTTATCAACCAGGCTGTGAATCCCCTGAGGTAAAGAACATGTCTGTTATCTTCTTGAATAAAGTGAAAAGAAGCAGAAAGTCTTCCCTGGACTTAGCACAGAACCTTCGTCACAGCACAGACTCAAATAAATGCTTATTTCTGACAAAGAAAAGGTAAAGAAACCAATTATCTTTAGGCAATATCCTGAAAACTAGAGGAATGTGAACAGATAATACCAATGAGTTCATTTTTAGTCAACATATAGATGTTGAAAGAGCAGCAGTCACGACTATTTCCAAAACTGAGAGGGAAGAACAGAAGGACATTACAGCCAGCATATTCAGTGCCTCTTCAATCATAATTCTTGCCAAGACTTTCAAAGTTAGTCAATAGTGAATACACAGCTATTTTAAAAAGTATCCTCAAGCACTTTTTTTCTCTTGGGCATTCTTCTACAAATATTCCCAAACATTCTGAGAAGGTAATTAAGAAAATATGATTTTGCCAGATACATTTTTTCTCCTCTCCTTTGAAATTTCTGCTGGTGACAGCCTTCAAAAATTAGAAAGAAGCTCCATGCCAGTGAAAATACAGAGATTCAGAGGAAACCACATATATATATGGGTGACATCCTTGAAAGTAATATTGTAGATAAATATGAAATGTCATTTCCTCCCCTACAGGAGATTTTATAAGATGATAAATCAGCTTCACAGTTGGAAGGAAACTGGATTCAATGAGCATACTTGATTGTGCAAAGGGGCAGGAGGAATTTTAGTGAACTGATACTCTATTAATTTTGCCAGTGCTTATTGTGTGAATTTCGGTAAGTCACTGCTATTTAGTAAATGGAACTGAGAGTAGATGAAATATATAATAAAAAGTTCATGCAAGTTGCCAGGAAGAAATTAAAAGTGTTCCTAAAAGCTGCCAAATGGTTACCTAATTTCCTCTAGTTTAACTTGAAAACATCAGAAAATACATAAATGAAAATGACACATTATTTTCCACCATATGTAATTTTCCTGTATCTCTGAAATTAAACAAAAAGTTCTAATGTAAAATACTGTGCAAAATAAGGTTTTATAAAAATGTGAATGCCCCAGTTAATGAATTCTTGACAGGTATAGATATGAAAGATAGTAGAGGATTCAGTATTTATAGTTAAGTATTCCTTTATGTACTGAAAAATATCACCACTGTATACCAAGGATAGATTTAACTGAGGAAAAATCCACTTGGCTGTTAGAAATAAACACTAAGTAAAGCCAAATATACTTCAAAATAATCCAATTTCTTATGTTTATTTCAAGAGAGGCCGGGACTAATTAGATGATATCAGCATCTTATAATCATTGACTCAAATTTGCAAAGACGGAGGCCCACATCCCTCTCAGTTCAGCAGGCCTTTATCTAATTTCACAGCCTTCCAGGAAGCAATAGGAACTAGCTCCACAGAAGGCTGAAATGATCATTGGCTCCAGGATTTTAAACCTGGGGTTCTTAGGTCCTACCTGGGCTTCCACAGTACCGTTAGCTTTTAGAAATTGCATAATAATCCATGTACTCAGGAATATGCATTTTATGAGAGAGGGCCATGTTTCATCAGAATCTTAAAGTGGTCTGCAAACTCAAAAAGGCTACTGAACTAGCCTACCTTCCATTTACAAATAAGCATGGAGAGTTCAAATGATTGCTCCAAAGACAAACTTCAAGTAGCTGTAAAAGACCTAGAACCAGGTCTCTTGATAACCAATTAGTGTACTACTATGTCCATATCATTTTTCTCAGAGGGCAGGCAGGAGAAAAATGAGTTAATCGTGCAGAGTGTTTTTGTGACCAGATCTTATTTTAGGTAAAAAAGGAGTATCTTGGTCAGACTACTGTCTCTAAATACGAAGTTTGAAGATATGGAAGGTAATATAGAAGGTCTGTATGAGTCAAATAAAAAACTCGTGGGTCTCCAAACAAACACCAACCTGCCTCCAAGCCAGACTCAGACCCATTTCCGTCTTAAGACTATGCAGCACACATTATGATCTTCACGCAGACAGAGGAATGCTTAGGACCCCCGAAGGGAAAAACAGATCCTGAGATATCACATTATACAATACAGAACAACCTCAATTTAATATGGCCCATTGGTATGGACTCTCTCCATCCCACTGCTCAACACACCTCTGCTCCACCCCCCAAACACACCCAAACATGAACACACTTACAGACAGGCACAGGATTATTTCAAGGTACAGACATATAACATAGAAATGAAAACAAAGCATGACATTTCATGAATTTATTAAAGGAAAAAGAAAATCAAACTGATTAATTTCATAATATTTTCATGATTAATTTTAGGACAGAATGTAACTAAAATAAATAATAAAGAAGAAATGTGCACTAATCCTGCCAAACCATCCTGTATATCCACTTGGTGTTTCTAAAACAAGATATTTGTTTCATTCTTGCATATGCATCAATGCGTGTATAATCATCTAAGTACATATTCTAGCTCTACCATTTACTTACAGTATGATGTTAGGCAAATTACTTAATCTCTATGTGACTTGAGTTCCCTATTAGTAAAATGAAGATAACAACATTATTGACCTTACTGGGTTGTTGTAAGAATTATATGTGGTAATACATGTGAAATGTTGAAGTGGATTGAATTATGTCCCCCCAAAACTCACTGAAGCTTTAATTGTGTCCCCCAAATTTTACATATTAGAAACTTGGCCCCCACTGTGACTGTTAAGAGCCTGGGAAATCCTATTATGGTAACTGAAAGGTGGAGCCTCAAAGAGGTGATTGGATTGTAGGACTGTGCAGTAGTGAATGGATTAAAAATGGTGGTCAGGGGTGTGGTTCTTAGGGCTTTAAAAGAAGAGGAGAGTCTGTCCTTCTTTCTCTCTGCTCCACCATTTTTGCAATGTGATACCCTGCCATCACTGTCACCCAGGCCTTCACCAGCTGTGTTCCCTGGACTTTGGAATTCCCAGCCTCAGAAACTGTAAGCAATAAATTTTGTTTTCTTATAAAATACCCAGTTCTGTGTATTTTGTTATAAGCAACAGATAACAGACTAATACAAGAGCCTATTACATTTTATGATGACAGTAATAGCTATTATCACCATCATCATTATTATCACGAAGAGGCACATATGCAATTAATAACTTATGGGGAGGAAGGAATTAAGAAGGAAGCTTAAGACAAATCATTTATTAATGAAATACTTAAGCTGTTACAAAAATTCAAACTACTCCCTGGGAGAACATCAGAAAGTCTGTTCAGCCCAGGCTTTTTACTGGGGCCATGTTCTCATGGACTTGGCACACCTGGGTTCTCCACCCAAAGGGGATGAGAAGGTTGGATAGATCTGGGTCAGTGGATCAGTTCCCTTCTCTCCTTACAACTGTGGGACGGGCAGTCTTAGTGTTCCCAGTCTCAGTTACACCAGCTCCTTGCATGGGAAGTCTGATTAGCCCAAGTGTTTTCTCTCTGCAGTATCTCTGACCACAAGCTTAACTAAAGTAAGTGCTCTTAGGAATTTACTTCCTCAGAAGTGAAATGCTTTGATGTCAACTTCGAAGATAATGGGATGCTCTTAGGATTTATGGAGGGAGACAGTATCACTGATGTACCATCACCATGAAATAGTGAAAACTTTAAATCATATCTGGCTTACATGACTCTATTGGGGTCATGCTATCATGGAACACTGAAAAGCTAATAGTTTCCAACACAAGGACAGACCCCAAGACTCCCAATCGAGTTAGTCAGTTGGCGGCATCATACAAGTAATTATCTATCTAGTGTCTAACTGTCAGGCCACAATCTTGACTATTTCACCTTAAAATATGTTGTTGAAAATGAAGAGTTTTACCTTTTCATATTCAGCAATGCCCAAGGTATTCCGGAGGGAGTATGAAATGCAGGTAGCAATTTTACCCCAAGTTCCACAGCTTTCTTTCGAAATATCTGAAAAGTTAAACAGTTAAGTAAGCTACTGCTGCAAGCAAAACAAAATGTACTATAATATTATCTCATATTTAGCACTTCTTTACTTTAAAATTTTCTTTATATGAAAAAAATACAGTTTCTCAAATTAACAGAATTACCTAGTAAAGTAAGAATCGTCCAGGGGCCATCATGCTGTGGGGTAATTGTTCCCAGTCTTGGTAACACATTAAAATCACGTGAGGAGATTTTAATACTACTGATGTGTGGAATACTGAGATTCTAACTTTTATGGTTTGGGGCTCCTGGATCAGAATTTTTAAAACATTACAGGCAGTGCCAGGGGATTTCAATGTGGAAGCCAAGGGGAGAAGCACTATTGCTGGAGGATAATTCCTGGACTAAGAATCAGGAGATCTGGTCCTATCCCACCTTCAGCACAGTACTCACTAGGGCACAGAGAAGGGAGAAGTTTTAAAAAGACTTATTATCACAAGTAATCTACATGTCCTCTCAGCCCCTTTCAGCTTTCACTTTCTCTGATGTTAAGCATAGGTGACATGAAAGAAAAAAAGTTAAATTGGGTACAGATTCTGCCCAGAGTTTAGTAGGAGAGATAATATACGCACATAAATACCAAGAACACAGACAACATGAGAGCTGGAGATGAAATCCTATAGGTATTCAGGTGAGTTCAGTAAGGCTGTATGGTGAGACACCATTTAGATGAGGACTGTATGCAGCATTTAACTAGAGCTATGAATGCTAGAGACTAGAGTTAGGAGAAGTAAACGGAGCATCCTTGAGGGATCAGTGTCAGCACAGACAGAGGCAGGTGGGTGCCTGAGAATAAATAGGGAATAGAGGGCTGGCCAGTTAGCTCAGTTGACTGTAGAGTGTGGTGCTGACAACACCAAAGTCCAGGGCTTGATCCCCGTACTGGCCAGCCGCCAATAAACAAACAGGGAATAGGGTAGCTTGCCTGATAAAAAAGGTGAATACTGGTAAATAATATCAGGCACCACAGCATGGGCCAAAATCACGGAAGATTATAAATGCAAGGCTAAAAATTTCACTCTTTTAAAATGGGAAATTTTTTAAAAATGAGTCTTTGAACAGCCAATTCAATTGAGCAGAACTGTGCTTTAGGAAGATTAATTAGATGACATCCATTCACATTTTTAGGTCCAAAGAAAAGTACCAACTTACTCATTCAAGGAAGAACTGCTATAGCTTTCCCTGCAACAGCTGCGGCACCAAGCAGGTGCCTCATCTCTTCTCCTTGAAACTGTGTGACTGAGAATGGTGGCCAGGGACTTACTTTTTCCTTCTGCCTCCTCCTCAACAAGGGAGAAGCAAGAAGGATGAAAGAGCCCTGAGGAGCATGGAGAATGGAAGCAAAGTCCTCTCTCAGCCATTGGGGGAGCCATTCACTACAGTGTTTGTCAAAGAAGTCACATTTGTCTTCTCCAGACGGAAGGGCTCCAGTCCGTAACTCCTGCTCTAAAATCTAACCCTCCCCACAGAGAAATCCAGGCACTCGCACTCCCAGACTAACGATAATCCCATAATACCAATGTTGAGGCTACTTCCGAAACCCTACTCTTTTGAAGTCTAACTTATAGTTAGTGATGAAAGTTAGGAAAGAAATGAGTTTCAATATAAAACTTTGGTTGACAACTTAGATAAACTGACATTCCTTGTAATCAAATAAGGACATATATTTGCAGTATACAGAAAGTGCTAAAAAACAAAGGTGCCATTTTTTCTACAAATTATTAAAACTACTGTCAAAGTGGACAATTTCCTGTATTAACAACAGTGTATGAAAGGAGTGGAGAAAGAAAAAAATAGATCTAAGGGTGTATTTTTCCTTCCCTTTCTCTACCTTACCCTAGAGAAGTCCAGGTTGCCTTCTGTTGTTAAGGTTTTATCCAATCACTGCCCAGACATCTGTTGACATTCTGGTTTTCACCCAACTTTTTAAACTGTTAATTAACTCCTTTTCAACAACTTACATAAAATAGAAGTCAAACTATGTAATTAAAATACCATTTTAGATATAACCATATGGCATGGGAGTTAAGGGCTCAGGCTTTGAAGGCACAGTGCCTGTGTTTGAAACTCGGCTCTGTTTCTTCAAACTGGGTAATCTTGAGCAAGGTGCGTAATCTTTTTGTGCCTAAGCTTCCTCATCTATAAAATGGAGATAAGAGCATTTACTTTTTAAAGGTGTGGAAAGAAATAAAGAAGTTATTATATTTAAAGACCTTAGGACACACAGTAATCACTCTAAAAGGTTAGCTGTAATTTTTATGGTGATAATGATGATAATGGTATTTCCCTAAGAACTTTCCCTGTTTACTGCCTGAAATTCTTGTCTTGGCTTTTATCCAACTGTTTTGGTACCTTCTACTTACTCAGGTTCATATTCTCTCTCTTTCTCTCTCTTTGTGTGTGAGAGAGATGAGAGAGAGAGAGAGAGAGAGAGAGTGTTATCCTCCTCCGCCTCCCTCCCTTACATACACACACACGCTCAATGCCCTCAGTTTTCATCACCTATCCACATTCCCGAAATAGACTTTCAGATTTAGCTTTAGTTCTGTACTTTTACTAGTGTGCACACATCACAGTTTGGGTGTCTTCGTATCTTCTAAAACTTAACATGTCCAACATGGAATCAATCATTTCATATCCCAGGCAAACTTCCCCAGTTTCATCATTGACATTTTTTGTCAGTGTCTTGGACTTAAGAGGGCAGGCATTTTGAGTTTTGATTTATTGCTCTTCAGTCACCAAGTATCATTGTTAATTCTTCTGAGATATCTTGTATACAGTTCATTCCTTGATATGAGCATAGGTCATGTTCTCATCGCCAGGCACAATGAAATGTATGATTAAAAAAGGTCCTCCGATCTAGCTTCCTGTGATTTTTCCTTGTTTCTATTAATCTGTATCTATATTACCGATTTTCTCCTTTTACCATACAACTTTCTTGTTGAAAAAACCACGATTCCCTCTGTTGTCTAAAAACATCAGGTCAAAACGGCTCTACTGACTTTTCAACAACTATGAACCACACCTATCTATTATCTTGTTTCCTCAAAGACCACTCTGACTCCAGCTTTTGAGTCTTCATGGTCTCAAACATTCACTGAAGTTCAGTCCATCTTAGCATCGTTGCTTACACAGCCCAGTTCTCTCATTTTGAAACACCTTCTTCTGCCTCCTTTTGGCTAATCCAAATTCATCCATTCTTCAAGGCCCAGGTCAAGTCTCAAGTCCAGGCCAAGACTTTTGCCTTCGATGAACTCCCACATTGACAAATGCTATGACAAAAAGGAGTGTTTGATTATAGAAGGCAAGAAACAGATTTCTAAATGTTTTCTTGTTCTCTTGTATCCCCCAATAATTTTCTTTCTTTCTAAAAGTATAGAAAAAGACCTCAATTTCTCCTTCCTTGCCTATTACACATATACAATCCAGATTAAGTTATTTTGTATTTAAATTTCTTGATGTCACCACAGTGTTCCTGGTAGTAGGTGTGAAGATATTTATACTCTCAGCCAGCAAGTAGGAAACAGTGGCCCTCTCTCATTTCAGGGTTTTGCAGTGTTCCCTCTGCCTGCAGTGCTCTTTCCCTAGCTCTCTGCATGCCTGCAGGGCTCATTCTTACCTTTGGGAATCTGCTTAAATATCCCCTCCTAAGAGAGGTCTTTTCCTAACATCACCACCTTCTTCATTTATCACTCATATCAGCTTGTTTATTTCTGTCCTGCTATTTATCACATCCTGATTATCTTATGTGTTTGCTTGTTTATTGTTTGACAACCCCACCAGGTATAAGCTTAATGAGGGCATGACTCTTGTCTTGTTCCTTGCTGTGTATATACCCAGTATCCAGCAAACCAGCTGGTACTCAATAAATGTTCATTTAATAAAGGAATGAAGCAAAGATTAATTAACATACTTGGACACTGTAATGAGAAGCCATTGATACTGCAGTGTTTGAAAGGTGCTCCACCCTATTTCACTAGTTGCTACTGTCTGCAAATAACCTTGGGCACAATTACAAAATAATCTTGGATAAGAACATTAATTAACCCATGGGGATGCTTTAAGTAAAATCATATACAAGCCTAAATCAAATTCAGTTCTCAATGTTTGGTACGTTACTTCCTCCTGTAGTCTGAAGAGAGGTTACCTGGAGGAGGAATCCAGATTCTAAAAGAGAACATCTTTCTACCTAAAATGGTTAGCATGTCATAAAACTTGCTTATAAAATTAATATCGTTAAAAGAATAGAGGAGACATTTCACAAATCATCCTAAAGGGCAATTAAGTTTTAACTCACACGTCTTGGATGATGTGCTGAAAAGCAAATTATTACAAAAAATACACTAAATGGCACTTCAGTGCTCCTTCAAATGAGGACAGGCTTGCTGGTAAGCGCAAGGACCTGGCTCTGAGGATTGTTTCTATCACTGCTTCAGTGTGAGGCCTGGGCAGGTTGCTTAACTTTTCTGGTTCTCATTTTCCCTGGTAAAATGGGAGTAGGCAGGGCTGGTAATTTCTACTTTCGATTTATCACTAGAAAAACTAGTACTCAGAAGACAGAAAACTAGTATTAAAATTTTCAGTGACTGGCAAGAAGGAAAAATTATTATAATTTTTAATAAAAATAGGAAGTGTAAATTTGCCACCCAATTCTTAGTCAATCTTAGTTTCCAGGGTTTGTTGGTACTGATATTTGATGGGAAGGATTTTATAAAGTTAAATGGGCAATATGAAGAAATGACAGTTCAATAAATACAATCCCTGCTGATAACAGAAGACATTTTCTTTTTTTTTTTTTTTAAATGACCATTAAAAGAAAATAGGGTTTTTGTACAACTAAGCAATCAGTTTGAGATGGGTAGACATCTTATGATCTAACAAGAATCTTCAAAAAGATTTTGCATAATAGAGATTCTGATTGCATTCATAGCAAAAGTCAAAACTAATATAACTTACTGAAAGAA